GCCTTTCACATCCATTTAAGATCATTCTTTTGAGCTGCCTTTAATGGATTTTGAATTAGTTCTTTGAAAACAAGATGAGAAGACAAAGGAGAGCCTGTGAGCTATTTTCAGGCACTTTAACAGATTTTTGTGGGGAAAACAGAGGGTATAATAGAACCAGTGAGCCAAAGTGATAGGAATAGATTGTTTTTCTGTGGAAGAAGGAAGGAACTATGTGATCACTAGAGATATTATCACTAGAGCATGCTTCAGGAGTTCCTCATCATGGGTAGTGTAGAAGTAGATGAAGGATGACTATTTATGAGGAATACTATATTTTTTTAGTATGTACTATATTTATTTATTTTGAGACAGAGCACAAGCTGGGGAGGAACAGAGAGAGGGAGAGAGAGAATCCCAAGCAGGCTCCACACTGTCAGCGCAGAGCCTGATGCAGGGCTCAAACCCATGAACCATGAGATCATGACTTGAGCTGAAATAAATAGTTGGATGCTCAACTGACTGAGCTACCCAGGCACCCTGAGGACTACTGTATTTTGATGGAGGTTAGACGGGTTAGTGCAGTTCCAGGGCATCTGATGACTTCATGTCACTGATCTTGTGTGAAACAGTGTAGCTACAAATTATTTTTTAAATAAACATATACATAGTTCCATGCTATTGTCCTCCAGAAGTACAAAAGTGCTAGGATTGCTTCTTCATGCATGCTGTAAAAGCTGTCATATGCTACTGTAATAGCCACATCATGGACATATGATGTGACAATTTCTGTCACACTTAAAGTCTGATACTTTTGGCTAAGGAAACTCATAGGTTTAGCCTTTGGCTAACTTTTACCTATATCATTTGGAAAGTGGTAAAAAAATTTTCAGATTCTCCTCAATTTTATTTCTTTACTATAACACAACTTTGATTCCAAAACCTAATAATTTCTGTACAAATTGGTCAGACACGTAGCTCCCAAGACTGGGTTGCAGCAGTTCAGGAGGGTGAATCACACAGTTGAATAATTGTAGAAGGTGTAGAAATCAAAGAGGCATTAGCAGTGATTAATGGCTCCAAGTAAACCCTCTGAGTATCTGTCCTTGTGGAAATGAAACTCTCCTGCCATCACTACAGTGGCCTCCAATTTGAGCAGGGACAGTCGTCATCAACGGAAGCCAGAGTCCATGCATATTTGCACTGTGATTCCCTCTCCAACCTTCTTAGCCACCAGGTGAAAGATTGGGAGAGGTACAGGCATGAGAAATGATGAGAGCAGGTCTCTGTGGGGAGATGCCAAAGCCTGTGAGCCATTGCCCTATTTACACAATGCAAAAATGCAGGTTTTGGGTACTGGGCTGAAGCAGGTGTTTGGCCAGCTCCTCTTTGTAATTAGCTTGTGTGTGTGTGTGTGTGTGTGTGTGTGTGTGTGTGTGTGTGTGTGACAGAGAGAGAGAGAGAGAGGGAACATTAGAGTGTGTGTGTGCATGCCCTTATCAAATCTGGCTGGAACTTGTGCCTTTACATCTGAAGATTGAGGATTTTCTACAATTTAGGGGGAAGTTCTTTTGGTTTATATTTCTTCCTCCATTGTTTTTTTTCTTCTCATTCTAGATCACACTGTTTTTAGAGGTTGTACTTTTCATTAATTGTCCTACTAAATCTGTTTTATAGTCAACAGAGGAATGCAGACAAATATGTATAATACAAAGGGATATCTGGTATTTTATAAGAAAGGCACACAGATAGGCTTTGCTGTTTGAAAGGGAAGAGAAACAACTGATAATATTGGAGTGTAATTTTATGATGCTCTGTTTTTAAAACTTAGATTAATCTCTTAACTTACATATTAAAAAATTTCCAATCATACAACATTCGACACCCAGTCTCTATTTCATCATTTCCATAGGATGCTCTGCTTTTTAGATGTAGTTTCTTGGTGAAAAATGTATCCCAGACTGTAAATGTGGCCCAGATTATAAAGAGTCTGATTTCACCTCCATTATGCTATATTTCTATCAAAATTTCTATCCTATGTGTATTTTAAAGTATATCTTAGCATATTCTCCAATTTAAAAACTTTAAACTTAACCATCATAAATGTCCCTGAAGCACTTAATATGCTTTTGATAATATCTACTTCTTAGGGTATTCAGTAATTGATCTTAAATATATTAGAGAGTTCCCTGTTAGCAAATTCTTTGTTAGCTCAAAGATGTTAAAACCCTATTTTTTAAAAAAAAATCTGAATGTATACTCTGTTTTCTTGAACTATATCATAAAATTTGAAACAATTAATTTGGTTCACTTATATTTAAAAGTAAATATATGACATAGTTGTGTTCCTTTTGGAGAGGGGCAGAGATGCCACAAATGCAGTAAAACGAAAATGATTTGCTTCTAAAAT